AGGCCTAGCACAGGAACATGAGTCCTCAATCAGATTTTAAGTGAAACATAAAAGCTTTGTACCTATTCCTCAGTTCCAAGTTCACCTTGCAGACACTGGTGGGATGACAAGAGCAATCTATTACCAAGTATTTTCTCATTGTATATACCCACTGATTGATTTAGGGGATTGGTTTTTACGATTGACGATTTGTTTATTACGAATGACCGTTTGGGGTGTTTTTTTAAATAGCTTTCCTAGGAACCCTTGTTCTGTTGTCTAGTCGTGTCATGGGAACGAGTCTTGATCTAGTTCTGATGCTAAATGGCTTTGTTACCATATCTCAGTCAATCTCTGGGTCTTAGCTGCCTTTCTTTAAATTTTAATTAGAATGAGGAAGTTGGACAGATATTTGTATCCCTTCCAGCTCTAACATTTTTTGATTGTGTAATAAACAATTATCAAGAGATATGCTTCGACTTGTTTCTGTTTCGTAGGCAGTGCAGCATGAATATTTAAAAGCAATAAATGAATGAATGAATGGCAGTAGAATAGGATGTACTGTGACGTGTGCGTGCTCGTAAACACTGTAGGCAATAGTTGTTGAGAAGCATTTCCATGTAGGAAGACTCTTCAGAGAGGTGAGACATGAATCAAAAATGATAACAGTGACTAAATTTCTTCAAGAAGTGTCGACTGATCTGTTTCTAAATTAATTTGAAATTAATGTGAGTTCATAGTATATTTAAAATATATGTAATGGATTTATCAAGTAAGAGAAAAGCAAAGCAATATCATTGTAGTTAAACCTGAAAAGACTAATTCTAATATTATTTCTTCAGTGTTGCAACTGGCAAACAATCTTGATTCATAAAAACCCCTGCCACCCAAACATTTGATTAAGTTCTGTGAAAAGAGAAACCAGCAGGGGACAAAATATAGAGTTCCAAGTGACACGTATTATTAGACATCTCAATATGTGGAAAAATCATTCTTTTAATTGCTGTGGTTTTGCTGAATTGTTTAACAAGCTAACATGGAACATCGAAATTTCTCATGCATTGTTCAGGGAAATTTGAATCCAGAGAAAATGATGAGCCTTGTTGGTCTAATTAATGCTCACATAAGTCTTCAGGAATTGACTGCTATTAAAAGACAGGATCTTAACTCTGTAGAACATCTGGAAAATTTAAAATCAATTCCAGTAACCCACATGATTTTAAACGTTTCAATAGATTTCCACTAGCGTAACAATAATTAACAATAAAACTTTCTCATTAAATAGCCTTAGATCTTTTCACAGTCATGTTTATATGGTGAAATAAACAATTATCTGAAACCTCATAGGGAATTGCATTAGCTTTCTATAATTAAACACTTGAGTTTGTTTTTGGATTGCTGTTTTTCGGATAACATGAAGCCTGTCCCAAGTTTATTGTTTGCCTTTTCTTAAATATTGCTAATTTACAAACCCAATAGGTGTCCACTTTTAAGAAGAGGAAGTATTATTTTAATACAGGAAGTCCCTTACTGATTACTTAATTAGGTTCACAATGTTTGCCATTGTGGTGCTGAGATGAAATCTGTTAAGGTGGCCCCCTGCAATCTGCTATAAGTGGCGACCATAATCTTCACCTTGCAACTTGTCTTGTTTATAGTTGCTCTTACAAAATGTTGTCTTTCCAGTGCAAAGTGTGGAATATTCAGCTACATTCAAAATCATTATACAGTTAATTTTCAATTATGAGTAATACTTGTTTCTATTTACTTAGTAACTGGTTTTGCAATTAAAGTGCAGGTAATTGTGCAAATGTTTTTTGTGTTAATATTGTAGTCTAAATTGGAATGTGAATTTAATTAAAAAAATGTAGAGTTGCTTCAATGAACCAGGTATTGTGGTGGTTGCTAGTGATAAATATATTCTCAGTTCCTCAGGCAATCAATTTTAAAAGTGTTTTATATGTGTAACCTTTTCATTTAAAACCCCCAATTTAAAATTAGTTTTTTATTAGGAACAAGATATACTCTTTCAGCATAGTTCCAGTGTAAAAATGAATGCTTACATGATATTCATCAATATCTCTTCTGTCATTATCAGTTGAGAAATATTTAATTTCTTTCTGTGTTTTAAAAAATATTCTAAAGCAGCAGTAATAATTAATACAACTTTAGAGATTATTTTTTACCTGCTCAAACTTTCTCTGACCCTTTCTTGCTTCTGATTATCTTCTATTAGTGCCTCTGATAAGAGGAAGCACCTGTTCTGGGATTTTGTTTTCAGATTCTTGAATTATTGCCCAGTACTAATTTGCACTGTTGAAAAAAATGATTGAATGGGGGTTTCATGTTCTCTGATGAATCTCATTACAGCAATCATTGGTTAAAAGTAATTGACAAATACTGTCCTAAGGATATAACCTGGTTGCTTTCTTAAATTCAGCAAGTGCTCATGATGGTGTAGTGTTATGGCTTTTGTTCACAGGTTCTAATTTCTGACTCTGACTGCCTGTTAGGAGACACAGAAACAGTATTTTCCTTTTAACATCTTTATGTATGTACTCTTACAAATATAGGACTACAAGTCTGCATTATTGCCTAGGATATTGCTGGAATCTTCCACTATTCATTTAAACTATTGATCGTGGTTAATTAATTGACAGTCTATTTAGAGGCTCATATCTTGACCTTCAGGTAGAGCAGAGTCTGTGTAAAGAAGAGGGGAGGATCTGGAAAGTTAAAGTAATTTCGAATGACCTTTATAATACCTTCTACCTTTTGTATAGAATCAGAGGCATGAGGCAGAATGTATGTATTTATTGATTGATTGGTTCATCCCAGGCTTGATGTTTTATATAAGCACATGCATGTATCATCAGTTGTGATTGTCTCCATTCTTCAGAGCAGGGATCTCATGCTCTTTTGGAGTTAGTATCTTGGACCATTCATACATTTGTGGAGCTGGGAGCCTTTTTGACTTTAGCTCCCTTTTAATATGTGCTGCTAATTTTAGATGGCTAAGAGATAAGTAGATTTGAGCAAGTAAGCCAAAAATAGTAACAATAAAATGTCATGGGTCTTAGAGGAAGAATCTGCTTGTGCTGGGGTTGGGAGGTTAGGTTTGGGGGTATTGCAGAAGAGGCTTTATGAAGTTGATGGAATCTGGCCTGAACTTTGGGATAAGATTCAAAGAGAAAGGCAAGGAATAAGAACAGATGTAGGAAAGTAAGAACAAGTTCAAGAACAAGAAAGTTTGTTTTACCTCGAGCCTAGGATATATGTGGGTGAGTTAACTGGAAGTGATGACATCAAGTAAAAAATCATGAGAGACCAGGTTGAAAAGTTTGAAGCTTCAGTTGTATGCTAATAACACAGCTATGCAATTAAATGCAATAAAATATAACTGGAAGGTAAACTTAATAGCCTTTTGTAAACATTGGTATCTTTTGTTGTCAGTACTCTGGGAAAGATTGTCATCACCACAAAACTCCATGGAGTTTTTAGTGATTACTTATTCTTTCATATTTCTTCAAGATAAGATTAACCATTTTTGGTTATTTAGTTGCAACTGGAATACTTTTTGTAAAGACCATTTATTCCTTGGTTTCGGTTTCATCAGAAATGGATTCTTTTGAAAGAAGATACACTCTCATTTTCTCATGTATTATAACTGGAGAATTTTTGTTACCTGTTATATATAATGCCTAACAGAGTTTGGATTCTTACAAGCTTGCTGTGGCAACTTGTATACTACTGCACTTAGAGTAGCACCCATTTATCCCTTATACTTGAGAAACAGATGTTACATATAAGTGATTTACAGATAGGTAAAACTTTACAGTTACCTTAAACACTTTTTATTTTATATACTTATCCTGGAAAGTTTATTTAAAGTTTGTTTATATACTTCCTTTTCAGAACACCTTTTGAATTTTTTTGAAAATGTCAACCCATTATTTATAAGCAAGAGTTCTTTTATAATCTAGAATTTGGTGAGATATTTGTAAATAATTGAGTTGTATTCACATTTTGGTCTGTGTATTAAATGATTCTCAACTATTTTATTCTTTTTAATTTCATTCTTTGCTTTTCCATGGGTCTTTCTTTTAGGTCTGCCCTCCTCTGTCAATTGACATTTCTCCTCTATCAGCCACTTTTTGCTACTGCTACTGAAATGACTTACTGTATGTGGAGTTTTCAGAGTGTGGCTTAATTGGGACCCCACCACTTTGAAAGGATGTGGATAATAAAACCAAATATCTGGGCTCTGTGTTTTTCATAATATTTTTTGTTTCCGAGACCTTTCTCATTTCCGTGTTAGATATCAGGACTTTCATACTGTATTTTTTAAAATATTCAAGTGTTTATCTTTGAAATGGTAATAATCAGTTTTGAATATTGCTCTGTCCCATCTAGTATTCTTTTATAAACATTTAATTCACTTCAGCCTTAGATTAATTCTACAAACTAGATATTATTTTGCGAAAGCTAAAGATGAGGGCACCGAGGCCCAGGAAACTTAAGTGACATACACAAGGAAGTGAGTTAGTACTAGTAGAGCTAGGGTTCTCATACTTGGCCTTCTTCCTTCTTAGACCTTTCTGAGTTTCCACATGTGGGAAATGGCAGTAAAGATGCCTGCCCTCCCAGGGAAGAAGTGAGATGCAAAATAGTCAATATATGTGCAAGCTGTTCCGTAAAGTTTAAAATGCTATACAAATGTTAATTTTATCATTATTTCTGACAAGCAAACTTATGTTTGTTTGTATCTGATACTTTTCTACTTAGTTATCATTTACTATTTTTATTAGGAACCATGACTACAATGTAGGACTACTAAAATGCAAAATTAGTCTTTAAGACACAAGAATCAACAAAACTAAATGTATCTTTTGCCCAATTTGGCAGATACTGTCTAATGCAGTTAATAGCCCCTAACAAGATAGATGTTCGATAAGTGAACTTCTTGATTTCAGAAGTATCACTCCATTTGCTAATTGTTAGTAAACACTAGCATTTAAATAGTCAAATAAAATAAAATTATACTTTAGTTAACATGAATTTTTCTGTTAATATGTGTTCAGAAATGTAGATGTTACTCACCCAGACCCCTATCTACTTTCTAAAAAGTATCAGAATTACAATTTAAAAGAAATTCTGAAATTTTGATTTTTTATTTAGTACAAATTGATTAAACTGACGTTTATGCCATTTACCCAAATTAGGAAGTAAAATCGTCCTTTTAAAAAAAGTTTTATGTGTGAAAATGAACTGCTATTGCCACACAGATCCTTACAACCAATTTAGGTACGAATATTTATAGCTAATTCCCTTTTATTAGTTTTTCCTTTATGATTTTTCCACAGTAAAACAAACAAGCAATTCCTTGGTCACTTAGTCAAGACACTTTTTGAAGTACGTAATTTTTATTGGAGTGGTTTTATCATGAAAGTTTTGTAGGTTAATGTATAACTCAAAATATTTTTGTTCTGTCAAAACCATAAACTTACTTCAGAGTTCTGTCATATAAAAGTCTTTTCCTTCTACTAAAAATATCTAGCAACAATAATTCAGATTAGATAGTGCTATTGAGACATTATCTAAATGATAAATTTTAAAATTTTTGTGAAGGAAAGTTCCTAGAACTAAGGAAATATAGATTAGTGCCACTTTTTAAATATCTTCCTTTTCTCTTTCACCCTCATATAATGTAATTTCTGCCTGCCACTGAGAAGAGAAGAGGTACAGCTGCCTCAGTTAATTGTTAGGTGTTCACTTAGCTCCCTGCAGAGTTATAAAATTTCAAAATGTGTTATATCTCTTAGTATATCAGATAATTTCCTGTGTAATTCCTCCTCTGAAATTCTGGTAGGCTTTTTATTTTACGATGATATTTCACATATTTGCACCAGAATTAACTGTCTTTTTTTGTATCGACGTTCCCAGGGTTCCTTATTACTGAACCTCACCAGGTTTACCATTCTTTTTCACTCCGTTGAGAAGATCTTGACAATAATGTCAGCTAAAATACTCTGGGTTTTTGGATAGCACAGCCCCCTCCCAGTTAAAAACAAACAATTGGAGAACACTTGGTAATGTTCAGACCCAGTTTTTAAAAGATTAATGTAATAAGGTATTGTCTTCTGGTATATAATAATGCCATTGTTATATATGAAGCTGGCAAAATATTGTGACAAAGGTTGTGTTATTTAATACCATTACCGAATAACAATGATTTATTATTATTGCTAATGAAATGTGGTAGTGGTTAGGGTTGAAGAGAAGGGAGCTAGCATTTACTGAGCACCTTGTATAAGTCTGTAATTGTCTCTGTAAAGTAGATTCACTTATCTAATTGGTTGGAGATTTGCAGGAAAAAAATTCAAAGCCATGAGGTGAGTTTTTATTTTATGAGAGATTTTTGAAAATCACATTTTAGCAACAGGTTAAGTTACAAGATAGGACCAGAGCCACTGATTGATGTTCTTAGAGGATAACTGAACTTCCCTTTCTGCCCCCAGAATGGGCAGCCCTGCCCCAGGGATCCCAAAGGGTAGAGCCTCTCTCTCTTTGGCCCTTGCAATCCTGTGATAATAGATTTTTGCCCACGTGGTTGGTTAGCATGCTAGTAGCTTTCACTCCGCTATTCGCTTCAGACTATATACAATCTTCCCCCATTTCTCCCTTACTCAACCTTCTCTGTAATCCCTTTCCTTAATAACCTCATCACAACAAATGATTAAGCCTTTCTGTTGTCTCTTATAGCTGAATCAGAGCAAGTAATTGATGAGGTTGCCCAGTTTCAAGGACAGATAGACATCCTCGCACCCTGTGGCTCTTCCTGCCTCTGCCCTCACTTGGTGTTCATACACTGCTTACGTTGACCCATGTGTCTTTGCATAAATTTATGGCATCTCCAGCTAAGCTTTAACTCCTTAAAGACAAGGGCTGTGTGTTAATTCTTTTCTCTTGCCCCCATTCTTAACCCTTTTGCTCAGTATATTCTTGATTGAGCTAATGAACATTGTCTTTGTGTTGATCTTTACATTGAGTTTAAGATTTGTAAGATTAATATTGTGATACAGTGACAGTGTATTGACCCTCATAGTGATTTCTCAGTTACTGTTTTCCATAAAACCCCACATACTCCAGGCCTTTTTCTTATCCTTTGGTTCTTCAACCCATTGGTAGCTTACCCTTTTATAGACCCTTTGCTAAACTATTTTTCATGCCTGAGCCAGGGGAAAGCTTGCAGACCACATGTAAAAAGAAAGGATACGTTTGTGGTTAATTGTGGATTGTAAACAATTGGAAGGCAAAGATTCTAGTTTATGCTCTTTCATCCCCAGTGTCTAACCGGTGTCTGTCATCTAGTCGACGCTCACAAACTATTGAGCTGGAGGTGGGTGGGCAGAATATGAGCAAGAGAAAGAAAAATGATTAAGGCCAGTGATTGTCACAGCTTTATGTTTTCTTCAGCACAGCTGTATATCATAAGTTAGTTTAAGCTGGTCTTTATTAGTATCATCAGTGCTTTAAAAATAGTTGATGTTGGTAATAATTCATAAGGATGACAGTATTATCATTTTCATTACACGTATCAATTTTCACCAAAGCACTAAAATGATTCTTAGCAAAGGATGTGATATCTTACTGAGAAAGAACTTATCTAGCAGATCAACATTGGAGGAGAGGAATGGGACACCTAAGAAGCAGAGGAAAGCTGAGTGCTAGTGATATCTGTCCAGAATCTTTCACAACTGGAACTTTCTTCTTAAAAAACTACCTTTTAAAAAAATTTCTTATGACAAATATGTTAATTTGTTTGAAAGTCTTTTGTCACTTTATAGAGTGGTGGCCTTTGTCCAAATGACTGTTCATCTGACAAACCCAGCTTGTGTGCCTTTTATTGGAACACAATAATGATGCATGTGTCTGCTACTTCCATTTTCACCTCTCTCTACCATTTGTCACTTTCCACCTCCAGACAGCAGGCAAGGCTATTTGTCTGCCTCAGCTTAATATGTAAATCTCCCATGCACATGGAGAGTAGGGTGTCCTATTATGTTTGATACCTCCAAATATATTCTGCTATTTGATGGTAAATTTTGTTTGTCTCTGGCCTTGCATTCCATTTTAATAATTTTTGTAAGAAAAGTACAATTGTATCTTGCAGTTTTTTATTCTTACCTTCCTTCTGCATGTACCTATATAGCCATATGCAGATGTACAGCTTTTAGTAAAAAGAAATGGCTTATTCAGAAATTTTAAATTAAATGACTATGACAATTCTAAACCATTGACTATTAACATTATATTATCTACAGTGCAATTTTCATTTATATGATTTAAAGTGACATGCTGGGAAAAGTGTGTTATTTCGATTACATATGCTTTCTTTACACCAAGGATAAAGGAACCTTTTTGCCTATTGCGTTAAATAATAAGCTATTTAGAGCTTATACTAAATTAGTTAATTTTACACACAACGTGACTGTTTTAAAAGCCAAGCTTATGAGATTAAAAGAATTGGGTTAACAGAGTATCCAGCAGTAATAACATATAATAGTTAAAGAATACATGGAGAATGCAATTTATCAGATGGCATAACTTTTGGCAATATATAATGAGTAGCAATAAATATTTTTCATTTAATTTTATTGTCAGGAAAGGGAAAGGAAGTAGCAGAGTTGGGAAAAAGCTATAGGACAAAACCATAGAAAGATAAAGGAGAAGGAAAGATGTTGTCAGTGAAGGCTGAAACTTCTAAGTAAAAATATAAAATTTGTGATAGATTAATTGCAACATCATGTATTATATCTTTAAACATGTTCACATTGGTGATCATGTATGCTCATTACAAAACCCTGGGGTGTTGACAGGTGCAGTTTTATAGCTGGAAGAATCAAGGCTGAGAAAGGTTGAACAACTTGCTTAATATCCACAACTGGCTGTTAGTATAGATGGGTTTTGAACCCAGGTCACCAAACTCTACATCTAGAACTCTTTCCTCTACATGTCCTTGAATCTTCAAATAACTGTAAAGTTACATATCATTTTGCCCTACTTTGTTCCCCTTCTCCTCTTCTCCACCTTTGTTCATTTATCCCACAGCTGATAACTTTGTTCTGTTAAATTTGCTGGCATTTGCTTTACTAGTACATCAAAGCAGAGATTTAGCTTTTACTGTATTTACAAAATTAAGCAGTGAGCACAGCCTGATTATTAGCCTTGGTATTAACTCACACTTTATAATGTGTACCTAATACCTACTTTGAAATAGGTGCTACGCTATGTACCAGTGTTTATGATAACCTTAGGCATTTTGGTATTGTGCTCAGTCTGTGGAAATAAAGGCTGAAGTCCAGAGTCACTGTGTTCGCCATTCCTTGTCTCCATCTTTGGTAACCATCCTTTGTCTTCATAGCCACAAGTGGAAGTGCTAGGGTTCAAACTCTGTTTTTCTGTCTTCAAAGCTTTTGGCTCTTTCCATGACAAATAACTCCTTCTCTCCACTAAGGTCAGACAGCTTTTTGGATACTAAAAGTAATTGAGGGTTAAAAGATTAAAAATTTGCTGCCTCTGTACTCTAATCCCACAAATGAACTTTTAGTAGATAAAATCATGTCCTATCTCTAAAAAAGCCCTGTGCAGAGATTGTCATTCTTCTATAAGAAAAGCCACAGAAGTTACTAAAAGTGTTATTTTCACTTATTATCTGAATGGGGGGATGATGTGAAGGCTATTAGAATTCTTCATTCTCTGTATTAATTAAAATCTGTTTTCTCTCTATTTTTTTTAATAGTATAAAGACGCATTTATGAAAGCAAATCCTGGCTACAAATGGTGTTCTAACACAAACAAGCCTGTGAAATCCCCAACACCCTCTGTCAATCCACGAAAGAAACTATGGGCCTTCCCATCTGACTCTTCAAAAGACTCGCCAAGCCCCAAGAAAGCAAAGACTGAAGAAACACCTCAGCTTAACTTTGGAATGGCCGGTGAGTTTATAGACAGTATTTCTACCTGTTCTTTAAGGATAGGACAATACATATAGGCACTGCTTTTACCAAATAATACAAAGAGAAAGAAGTAAAATATATGACCAGTAGGAAATAATGGCAAATATATAGCGTATTTTAACGTTTTGGCGCATGGCATGAGTATATATAATTGAAGAAAAGAGAGTCATTATATGTATATGTGAACTCCTGACATTGACATTATGGAAAAGCAGATAGCAAAGTGGAGAATGTCAGAAGCTCAGAGAATTTTATAAATTTATAACATACACACTATTTAGCTATCTCAGTAAGTACTTTAGTTATCACGGATACTTAAAAAACCACAGTTATGCAGCTTATCTGAGGATCTGAAACATCGAGGGCAAGAATATGCACAACTCTGTCACAAATCTAAAATGGGTCTGACATCTCTTTCTTAGAGGACATACTCCTCCTCCCCTCTCTCCTGCTCCCATTCCTCTGTGGGCTGAGCAAATTTAAAATTTCAGATGGTCTCATTTGTTACGGTACCTTTAATACTCTTTGGGTGGTAAAGAATGCTAAAGCATTTATAATCATGAAATAAAGTATTTATATTCGCTCTGGAAATGGCCCTGTCTTCCCTGGCTGTTGCAGTGCAGTAATCAAGAGAGGAATTATCCAGGATGAAACTGGGAAATTGGGCAGTGAGGATGACATTGAATTGTAGGGTTTCTACTTCATTATCACAAGCAAATTTTCATCAAAATGAGAGCCTGAACCATTTGTAATATGGAAAGCTTGGGAAAGGACGTTGAACAATATCGTGATGACACTTCATTTTTTTTTTTAATGGCCAGTAGGCCTGATGAGATTTAATAATTCAGTGTGTAATTCATAGTATAACAAACTATGTGGTAGTGTCATGTATAAACCTAAGAAGAGCAGTCTAATAAATGTCAGCATTCTGGGAGAACAAAGTCTTCAGGTGATTTTTGTGTAGGTATCTGTAGTATAATTCTAGGTGAACTTCCAAAATGATGCTCTACATATCACAGAAGAATCAAACAGAGATCTGTTCTTATTTTAGCTGTAATTTGTACTATTTTAGCTTCAAACTACTTGCAAGTGGTCTTGGTGAGCTCTCTGGACTTCTCAGATTCTATCAGTTGGAGTGTTTTATAAACATTTTATTATCAAGACCAAAAAAGAGTATATGGACGATTGGCTTCTAACTGAATTCCTTCAATTATCATTTTATCTTCCGTTGCTTTTTCTCCTACTTCTAAATCTAGGTCAGTCTGTGTGGGTTCTTTGCATATAACGGTTCTTCACAAACCAAAAATAATTACAAACTGCAGAAAGCTATGAAAGATGTCTGTCTGTTGCACCATTTCTGACAGTTTATTAATCTTTTTATACCTACAAATTGAAAATGGGACCAAGACTTCAACCAAGATAATTACAGGTCAGCTTTTAAAAACCATGTTTTTTAAAGCAAAATACAGGAAAGAAAAACACCTTCCTTGAATTTATCTCATTATACAAGGACCTGTTACGGATGCTAGAAATCCATGATCGGTGCCCTTGTTAAGTTAGCGTGTAACATTGGTCTGATATTTCTAGATATGTCCCTTTTCAGTACAATGAAAGAAAATTAATTTGCCTTTAAACAAAACATGGTGCTTAACTGACTCTGTGGGATACTGTAAAGCTTTTAGAGGCCAATTTTAAACTTTTCCTCAACGTGGAATCTCATTTTTTGTTTTGTTTTGCTTTCTCAGTAGTCCTTTGTCACATGAGATTTTGCTATTTTGAATAACCTCAAAGCAGTCAGATGTATGATTTTCAAGAAAGGAAAGCTATGTAGAATTTAATTTAGTATAAGCCCTCTCAGCGAAGGGAAAGCATGCTCTTTACATAAATATATTTTTGATATTTCTAAATAACATTATATAAATTTAAATCAATATAAAGGTTTATGGTTATTTCTTGATCTGTGTTTTAGTATCTAGCAAATTTCTTGCCAAGTCACACTGGTATATAACTTAAATGAAATTATCATATAAATGTGTTCCTATTTTACTTTATAATTGAACTAACACATTTTTATCTTTATTAAAAAGCAATTATCCATTCCTCCTGATTCATGGAATGACAGCTGCAAAAGTATTTAGCTGTCCAAAAACCCAAATTAAACTTTTACTTTTTGCTAAATTCATTTCCCCCTCTTGATTTTTATTTTAAATAGATTTAAGTGTCTATTTTAACAGCCATAATAGTTCTTAACACTAGCTTTTAAGTAAGAATGGAATCTTAAAACAGAGTCCTGTTTCATCAAATCAGTGTTATTGTGTATTCTGTATGGGTATCTTCCTATGTGACTACCTTTTAACATTGAGCCATTTCTTGACTTCCTGATCATTTGGTGATATATTTTTCTCTCTAATAACCTCATTTTTAATTACTTAAGATCCTTTTTTCATTTTTTAGAAAATTTGGCTATATAAGATGTGGTCAGAGTTGCTTCATGAGTTTTTAAGACAGATTATATACAAAGGAATATTTAAGGGCATACCTTTAAAAAAAAATCAAAACAGAAAAAGAAACTCCTAAATGTCTTTAGGCAACACAGTATGCCCGATCCTTATGTTTAATTGTATAGAGAGGAGATTCCTAAAAATAAAAACACACTTATTGAGGACCTACATACACTAGGATAGGCACGGAAGTTAGACATTTTCACATGTTATTTTATTGCAGTTCTGAAATTTAATTTATCTAAGACAACCTTAAAGGATATAGGTTTCTTACTTTCTGTAATACTTTCTTTGTTTAGATATAACCCCGGGTCATAGATCTACCAATTTGCTTTTTTTTTTTTTTTTTTGTCTCTGTTTCTGTTGATTATTGAAGGAATGAAAGCAAAGACCTTCTGTAATATAAAAAGGATTCATTTTAAATCTTAAAGGTATTTCGAGGAAGGGCCTGACTATACCCCTAAGATTTAATATGTCAACAAGACATCATTGTTTAATTTAAATTTGTTTTTGAAACTTTTAAAGGAAGATTGCTTAAACAAAGCCCACTAGGTTTTAGAGGTCCATTTGTAAAATTTCTTTGTTCTCTAGTTCCTCCGATAGCCTGGTTCTTTCTTTATCAGTCCTAATTTTACATGGCAGAAAATAACAATTTGAGAATAACAATCTCAAACTTCTTAGTAGTTTTTGTTCTAAAAAAATCCATCTATGGACATGATTTCATAGTGTAGCGGTTAGCACATCTGCTTTACACGCAGAAAGTCCTGGGTGCGCACCCCAGTGGAGCGACAGTCCATATTCTATGGCCATGCCACCCTGTGCAAGCCCGATGTCTGATCTCAGAAGTTAAGCAGGGTCGGGCCTGGTTAGTACGTGGATGGGAGACCACCTAGGAAGACCAGGTGCAATAGGCATAAATAATTTAAAAAAAAAAAAAAAAATCCATCTAAACTCTTCATGCAGTAGTGAAAGAAGCATCATGTTATAAACAGCTATAGTATTGAAGAACATATTATGTCAGAATAGTAGGACAACAGTGGTATTTAAAAGGCTGGTAAAAGTATGAGTACTGAGCACATACATATGAGGTTATTGCTACACAAAGAGTTTTGAAAACTTTGTAAAGTTACATGTGGTTCTGTTGGATTTCTGTTAGTCTTTGTGAGTATCATTTTTCAACTGTGTGTGTTATACATACTTCATGGTTGTAAATTGATACATATTTGTTTTTGACTTATTTAGATCCTACTCAAATGGGAGGTCTGAGCATGCTGCTTTTAGCTGGAGAACATGCTCTTGGCACACCAGAGGTAAGTAAGCCCCTCATCCCTCTCCACTCCGCTCATGCTGGGGGTTGAGAACACAGGCATTTGTATTCTGTTCACAGTGTTAATTTTGCAGTTTCACTGTTTACAGCTTATGAACAAACTTTACTTTTTATTGTTTTCATTAAGATCTATGTGTGTATTGTATTGTGCATTGAAAAGTGGTATAGATAAGCCCAAGAGGACACAAACGTAAGTCAGGTGCAGATTTTGAGGTCCATAAGCCTAGGAGTAAGAAATGCAATGTATAGACAGTTAGCATTTGCCATGACTGTGTCATGTGTCTGTGGAGTGAGTCTTGTGATTCATTTAACTCTATTCATAACATTCTCTACTTTCGTGATGTTCTTATTTAGACTTGCTAGTGAAAAGATGAGAGTTAAAAAAGCACGGAACTGTCAGTCTCTCTGGTACCTGAATAAATCCAAACTCTTGTTTTAGAAAATCAAGAAACATGGCATTCCAAGATTGTTGTTGTTGTTTTTTTTTTTCTTTAAAATGAAAAGGACTCAAGCCCTTGTGACCTTGGTTTCGTGATCTTTTATTTCCTTGTATAGTTATTGGTCTGCTTTGGCTAAACATTTTTAAGTATGGTTTTGATGGGCAGGTAGTAGCAGTTAACCATGCATAGTTTGCATTTGTGGAATTCTTCTATTTTCCAGACCAGATGAATTAACCTGCAGGTCATGTTATTTTACCACCCTCAGGTACTTGAAGTGGAAAATTTTCAATCCCCAACCAGAGTCGCTCTTTAGGGCAAAATAGCAGTCAGCTCAATTTTACTGCAGATTTTA